GTTTGCAATTTAATGGCGGACGTCTCTTGCCCAGAATGATGACAAGTGCGCATACGCAGCACTATTGCGTAGCGAGAAGGAAGGCGGGCGGAGAGGCGTTACACTGGCAGACGATCGACGCTTTCGTCATTTTCTAATTGCACCTCGTATTGCAAACGCGGTCGCAGAACCACGTGACTGCTATCGAGCAGTTTAAAACACTCTGAAATATGGGCACACTAGTCGCACCTTCGAGTAACTGGGCCCTTCTCGTAGTTGCCGTAAGAATATGTTCAACATTAAAATATCAGAGAAAACGGCTGTGTAACACTAGAAGCGCACGACAAAAGAGCCCAGACAGTAGAGCGCAGCGGCGTTGAGCGCGCGATTCGAGAGCGCTGCGACATCAGGAAATTTTCGTAGACCGCGTTTCCCCCTCCGCGGAGGTCTCTGTAACGAGGAAACCCCCACTGCGCCTGCGTGCCGATGGCCTTGGCTGTGGAGTTCCGGGTAGCGGAGCGGGAAACACGGTCTACTAAAACTCCCTGCTATCTACGAAAACTCCCTATTAGATCGTGTGTCATTAGAGCGCCCGTCACGAGAGCGCACAACCAGTCCAGCGCGAGTGGCCCGACCGGACCGACAACTTGTTCGGACATCGCGTGTTTAATGTGAAATTGGCGGGTATTTACGCCGCGGCATTCAGCAATGGCATTGCAAAACAAGTCGACAAAAGTTGGGCTTGTGACAAACCAAGAAGTGCTACAAAAACTGAAAGCAGGAAAAAAAAAAAAAAGGAAATGAATATCTGTAACTTCCATTTCCGCATAAAAAAAAACAAAAAAACATTGCACCTGACTTAGCTCCATTAGTTCTTTGATTTTAATGAATAAAGTTCACCATCGACCTCACTAATTTTTATCTTCAAATTTTTTAAAACGTTCACTAATTTTTATCTTGAATTATTTTAAAACGTTCAAAAGGAAAGAAGCCACATGTAACATGCTTCCCGTATTTTGGGGTTTTCAAGATCAATTTCAAAAAAGGAGCTCTCGTGCCAAGTGTCATACGCCAACTATTAATACTGTCACAAATGACATTTGTACAAAAAAAAAATGTGTGTGGACACATTTGCATGCACAAATTAGGCCTGCTAATGCGGTCAAGGTCACCGTCTCCTATGCGCTTCTCGGAACCTGGCCGCTATCGAACTTGACGCATTGGTGCTTTGTCTCTGAATACGTTTTTGTCGGCAAAAAGCTAACCTACGAATACTAGAATCAATCCTTTAAATTTACTACCCGTGACACTAATCCTTGTGTAGAAGTTCGATGTCTATTCATTTTAAAACTTTTATGTTCGAACTTTTATTTCTGCCTGTACTTCCAGGCGAAATGCGAAATGCTTCCGCAAGGAGCCTTTTCGCGCGCTCATATTGGCCTCGAGATCGACCTAGAGGTGGCGCTACGGTCGCGCTATCATCATCATCAAAGCGGGGATAGGAGAGCGGCCGCCCCATAGGCTCTCCACGTTCACGCGCGAGACGGCGTAGATTCTTGCGTTTATTTTGTGGCATACTATCGGTGGGAAAACAATTCTAGCGGAAAAGGATGCGGTACTGTTCGGTGCTTCAGTGAAGATCGAATCGTGTTGCCAGCGTGCGGCCTAAATTTATATAATCGCTTCTGTGGGTGCGTCGTCTGTTCTAGGCAGACGTTGGAAAGCATGGATCACCACGACTGATGCCTGTCTCCGGCTGAACTGGAATATTTACGTTAAATATTTTTTTTTTTTTTAAATGAATGTATCGGTTCATCAACGTGGGAAAAAAACACAATAAATTCCAACCCAGATAACATAATACCGGTACTGTGGGCTGTGAAATCGCAGCTTCTATGATTTTTTTTTACTTCTAGCTTTTGCAGTAATATAAATATTTAGAATGAAGATAAGTTAGCGCTGTGTTGGAAATTACCATGCTATTGAGTACCTCTGCCCTTTTACTGTGCCATAGTGTAGGTAAGTTTTATGGAGTCTGAACAAATCTACTGCGTTGCGATGAGGAGAGTGTGTCTCTTCTAGTTAAGATCTGCAAACTGCACGGTTGGCAGGACAACTGAAACAAGTGGAACAAACTGTTCTAATATATCTGCCGTGACCGTAATAAACGAGTGTAACCCAGCTACGCAGCAATGTTCCTGTTATTAAATGCTTTTCTTGGGAGTGCGGGTTCACCCGCTTCAATTTTCTTGGTAAGGGCCGCGGATGTCAAGAGGCTAATACTATAAATTTCTGGCTAAATAATCTTGTATTCAAATACAGTAGACTTTGCAACCCCAACAAACGACGCGCACCACGACACAGACAGTATCGGCCGCAGTGATACTCTTTTACTCATGAGGGCTAGCAACCTTCACGAGACTTTCCGATCAGCCTCCGCCCTCACCTAACGTATATAGGGATTGGGCAGTTCATCGATTAACTTTCAGATTATTCAAGTAATGCTTTGATTGCAATTTTTTTTTGCCGGTTAATTGGAGTCTTGTGCTGGAGAAAGTCAACAAGGAGTAAATAATACCTGCTTTGATATTTTTGACGTCTTTATTTCTTTTGTGACACAGGCTTGCACGGTAAACCACTTCAGCGTGCTTGTCATTTCACCGAAGGTGATTATACTGTTTAAATAATAACTTTAAACGATGCTTCATTTTAAAAGGCTTCCCGTGTTGATATGCATGTAGGGCTCGCAACGTGAGGTTTAGAATGGGAATGCAATATGCCATTTATGACATAGTAAAACCAGTAAAACAATGTATAGTTTTAACGTCTTTCACGCAATATGACCGGTGAAAAATCGACATACGGATTTATTGATTGATTAGTCTATTAAAGGATAGCGATCAGTCGGGTTAGTTTTCTAATCAAACCACAGACCCACTCAACATTCAATGCTTTATGAAAGCCACGGTTTGTGCGAGGTAACAAAAATACGTGGGATTTTTTTATGAAAGCTTAATCGCTTTGCTAAATTTCTACGCATGGGAAACGATGCAACACAGCCTTCAGTAAGACGAAACGGCTACAAAAACATAAAACATTTAATAAGGAATGTCAAGCTCAGCCTGAAACGGGCTTGCGTCGTCGAGATCCGTGCTTCTGAGCGTGCGCCCGTAGCAGACGACGCACGGCGGTATCCCCGCTTTCGCGCGTTTCCAATTTCGGCCGCACGGTGGCGACACGGTTCGATCTCGCAAACAAAATGGCTAGGTGGCGTAAGCTACCGCCCGATCCAAAGGGCTCAGCCTTATTCATCCATCCATCCATCCATCCATCCATCCGAGGCGAATAGGGTAAATCAGACAATCATCGTTCTTTAAAAGTCCACGCGCTTCAATCGAGTAAAACACTGGAAAGGACAAAATAGTATATCCCGTTCCGTATGAAGTCCGAACGCAACAAACACACAACTAATTCAATCCGGCAAAGCCAAAAGCGCCTTGTCATTGTGATCATCGCCTTTGTCCGTTGACTCTCAACAGTTAAACCAATCACGGACAGAAAAAGTGCAGGGTATACCGGCGCATTCACTGCCCGTGATTGGTTCAGTTGGTGGTAGGAAACGCGCAAAGACGACGCGCGCCATGACGAAGCGCTTTTTGGGCTCCTCTATTGGCTCAATCGGATCGTAGCGCTGGCTGCGGTCGGACACATTGTGAAAAAAAAAAAAAGTATATCTTATATTTGTCTTAACTTTATGCGAACGGTGTTTGCTTCGATGACGTTTTTCTAGAAAACATCTTAGTTTCTTTAAGGGATGGGGATAGCGTTAAAAAGCATGAAATGTCTTTATAACACCACCTTCATCCCTTAAATTTGTCCGTCCGTGCATTTTCCGCTAAAAATAGCGTGGAAATTGCGTTACGTAACATATACACCATGGGAAACGTTTACGGCACGAGACCAATACGTCAATTCAGTTTCCCCACTAAATGGCCAGGACGTCTATTCAATTTTCCCGCTAAATTTAGCGGGAAATTGACGTCACGTGACCCATACACCAATTCAGTTAGCCGCTAAATTTAGCGGGAAAGCATACGTCACATCACACAGCAATTCCCTCAGCCTTTCCTCTCTTTTCTTCCTCTCTTTTTCTCTCCTTACCCCTTGCCCCTCCTAGCAACACCTCCTAGATAACCCTAGATGATGTTAGAGCACTAAACGGGTCGTTCGGAGCAGAGTAGCGCAGTAGCGCAATCTAGAACGCCATCTCTCGGCGACTAGCGGTGAATGCCCGGGGGTTTCAACTCCGCTCATAAATGCATGGCGAACTTGAGAAAATCGCTGTTTCTTGATTATTTTGGAGATGTGCGGAACGACAATAGTTTTTGAAATAATAAAGTAAAAGTTGGCAATAATTTACGCAAAACTGTGTACCATGAAATAACTTTTTTTTTTTCTTTGTTTCAGCGGCAATATGCAGCAGACGACGCAGCGACGTCCACTCCGTTCACGTGACCCGCTCCGGCCAATGCATAAAGTTCATCTCCGCTGCGTAAAACAATCGTCTGCTTCAAACTTCATTGCCTTGGAGATTGCCTTGTTAAAATTTTCACACGCATCCAATATTATTAAAACTTTGATAAAGTGTTTTACCAACCTCACGACAGACTAGTTTAAAAAAGTGTGAACTTGGCGCTTATTTCTTAATCGGCCGTGTTGCGTCGATTTCCATGTATTGTCCCATAGGGCGGGCCGCCTGCTAGAGCCCTCAGTACCACGTGACTGGCGCCGAGCTGCTCTGTCGGCCATCTTGTCGGCGAAACAGGGGGATCAAAGGATTGCGTTACTCTGCTCCGTGTAAGCTATATTGTGCTCTGGGTAATGTTACTCCCTGGGTGTTTCGAGGCTTTTCATGCATTACAAAACTTTGAGGCTAAAAGTCGCTGCCAATTTTTAATTTATTTATTTAGAAGTACTGCCACAGCTCAGAGCTCGATTAGCACTAGTTAAGCGCTGGAAAGTTATTGTCCTTTTGTAGGTCTTATCCTGTAGATCTTCACGTCAGCGGGAATCCTCTCACATTTTTTGTTGATGCAGACCTGGAAGAGAAAACGGGGTTGCTTGAGGCGGTACCCGGGACATACTTGCAAGAGAGATGCAGTCATCACGATTGAAGAAGTCCCATTCGACGAAGTGATGTTAGCGGGCTGTTTCGGTTTCGCTTTCTCCATACCCATTTGCTCGTGGTGTCTATACAGTGTGTGGCCGCAGAGACTAACATAACTGGCACGCCTTGCAGAATTCGCATTCAAATCGTGCATACCTAAAATTGGGCACGCTAACGTCGATTGAAACAAAAAATGTATTTCTTTTTTTGACAGTTCCACTCAAAGGCTATAAAATTAAAAAAAGAAAGACAGCAAAAACGGTGGCCGTACGTATAGACTTTAGACTTTTCCAATATTATAGACTTTTCCAATATTCTTCTTCGGGGCGCTACTATCTTTATGTACTGGGCTGTGGACGGCGTTTTGAGCGTGCGAAGTCGCTGTCTTCTATGAAATATGAGACGTGCCGCAAGCGTCCACAGGCCACTGACTCAGCATATTTTGCCTTGGTGCTACCGCTATCAAGCTACCGTCAGGTGAGTGGCTGAGATAAACATCTGTTAAGCGGCGCCGCTCAGGTCACTTCCTTTACGTGGTGTGCACAAAAACCCTACATGCCGGCTATTGAAAACAGGCCCTGCGAAGCAGGCGACATCAGAGAGCTCTCGATCGCCTCGGACCGCACAGCATTTCTTCCAGTCTTATACAAAAATGCCCTAAGAATTCTCAATTTAAAACCACCGTCCGCCTCCGTGTCGTTAATCTGTTAATATCTGACCAACCTCGAGCATGTTTACACTTTGTAAAAATAATGAATTTGTCATTTATGTGTATCTGCACGAACCATTCACGGTTCAGCGGTAGCCTCGATTTCGTAATATTTTTAGCTTTGTAACTTAAAATACACAAAAAATAATGCAACAAATTTTAGCAGATTTTGTTGTACGTCCATTGGCCTTAAAGGGGTTATGACACGCCAAGAATAAAATATGAGACGACTATACTGCTAGGACCCATTTTATGTTCCTTTAATTCTGCTAAATTTGTTTTGAAAATGGCGCAATAGTTTCGTGGATAAATCGATTTAAAGGCGGGTCCCTCGGATCCGCCTTATTCGAAAAGGCCGCCGTGGCTGGGAAGCTGGTCACGTCGGCAGCCTCCCTCGCGGCGTCCCCTTGCTCGCACTCACAAACTTGGCACTCTGGACGTCTCGTGCTTCAACTTCCAAGTTTACCTTCCGCGTTTCGAGCATGTGGTCCGTGACGTGACGACGTCTACGATATCGCTCGCCTTGTCAAAGTGTTTGACATTGTTCGCAGTAGCGATGAAGGTGATTGCTATCGAGAGATGTTGGAAGCTCTTCATTTTGACTGCGACCCGCTGGCGACCAGCTCCAGCGACGGCGAGTTACGGACGAACTCGCCGTGGTCACCGTCGTCCGGGGATATCTCGCAGGCGCATGCAGGGTGGAAGGCTTCGGAGAAAAAAAAAATCGAATGGGAGCTCTCTTCGAAAAAAAAAATATTTATCTAAATCTTTTGCGTATACCCGAAATACACTCCCTATTGAGCTGACCATCAAGTTGCCATTTTTGTTTGACAACCGCAGCTATTGTCTCTTTTCCTTCGCTTACAGGTAACTGGATGTTTTCTATTTGGCTCACGCGTATTTTAGCTCGATGTCGGGGACTAGACATTTTTTTTTAAGAAGGGTTCTGCGCATGCGCAGGTCTTCCTCTCGCGGGGGCGAAAACTGGAACTTGGGTTGGCGTCCGGAAGAATGGTTGCACTACCTCTCCTGTCTTTTCCGCGACTCAGGTCAGCCGCAAAGAAGGCAGGAACGGTATCACAGCTCCCATCCCATACACCAACGGTACTTGGAGGTTTAGCCACTTGGTGTCGTTTTTACATGAAAAAGGTTCATTGCATACCCATGTCTTGCTTTTTTCGACACAAGCGCCGATAAAAGATGATTTTTTTTTTTACATCAGGATTCGGCACATCAAAACACTTAGTGGGTAAAACAAATTTTACTCCCTCCCCCAACCCCAATATCATGGCGGAAGGCAACGCACATACTTAAATAATACGGCCTACTGTTCTTGCTACGCCAATGAGTATACGGAGCGCAAGTTCGTCTGCTTCTAGCACAGGGGTTGCGATGGCGCCAAAACGCCGAGCTGATTGAAAAAAAAAAAATTACCGCATCTCGACGTGGTGAATGATGTTGATTGGGGCTAAGTTCTGGTGGTGCTTGTCTGCGTAGACGCTGAGCCGCGGCATGCCGAGCCTTTCGTTCGTTTTCATCCATGTCAGAAAGAGAATGTGTGGTATGGAACGTGGTTATATACGCATTTGAGCATTTGACCGCAGGGCCCTCTCGTCTATAAACAGTGAGCCAATGCATGTAAAGTTTAACGCGATTATATACGCATTTTACCGCAGCGCCCTCTCCATTATAAACGTTGAGCGGCTACATGCAACGTTTCATCCATGACATCCCCAGCTCTTGAGTTACTACCACATCTCAGAGGCCCCTACTCGTCCCGCAGTCGTGGCCGAGTGGTTAAGGTGATGGGCTAGAAATCCTTTGGGGTTCTCCCCGCACAGGTTCGAATCCTGTCGGCTGCGCAGACATTTTTCTTTCATCATTTTCTTTGCCCTACACGAGCACGTTAGCACGTGAGCTCACGGGCACGAGCACGAGCACCAGCAAGATCGATGTGAGCACGGACGCCGGACGGACAACGCTAGACCCTAAGGAGCTTCGCCCCTAAAAAATAGCGGGTGGACCTCAATGCATCTAGCAATGAGGTTTACCAACCATCCTCCCAATCAGAGCGAATCGAAACTAGGTGTCATTCTGATGCCCCCGCAACTCCTTCGCAGGAAGCAGACGACTTGCTCTCCACATAGCAGACGATATTGAGGCAGACAATGACGGGACGAGGACATGTCTGAATCTCATAGTGCAATAACTTTTCGACGCAAGCGACAGGTGGCATTGACGCGTCATGTAACCCCAATATTCGATCCTTTCTCGTTTGTTCATATTAAGTTTTACCTTAAATCCAACCCAGCCGACGCTATATTCTAATGGAACTAAACAAATAGAGTCAAAAGCGCAACGTCAGGGTGCTCGTCGGCTTTGTACGTTTGCTAAATCACCGGTGTTACGTCTGGCCCGGGGTAAAGGTCAACCGACGCACCAACCTAACTGCCTAGTATCGTCGACAGATTTCTCCTAATTAAAAAAATGGAGGATCCGAACCCGGCTGCTAGCGAAAATCCTGAGCGGGAGCCCCAACTGATGGTGGAAAACCTCGGATACGATGGACGGGTGTACGTTCCTTACCCAAGTTCACCCAAGCCCTGAGGACCTGTGAGCGCGTGAAGGGCCTGTCTGCCGTCGCACTGTCGCCACGTTAGGGAGAAGCATGAGGAGCAATGGTGCCCCAGGAATTAGTCGGGGCCAGCTGCAACGGCGCCCTCTCGCCTCACCTTGAGCATGCCGCACAAAGACGCCCAAAGACGTCTAGCGTCGCGGGCAACCGACTTCACAAAAGCAGCCGGTACACTGGCGCTGTTAGGAATGACCTTGGAAAGGGCTTCGCTCCTCCCACACTCCCTGGACTGGTAGGAAACCCGGTGGATCGTCTAGACGGGGATTATCGGCCCAAGCTAGAGAACACCCTGGTGTCTCCAAATCTGCGTTAATTAAAGGAACCACCGAGTGCCAAGTGACGACGGACCGCTGGCATCGTCTTCGATCGCCGCCGGGTCCAAGGGATCGTCGGCCGTTCTTTAGCGGTTGACGGCCGGTTCGAAGACGCGTCCCTGAAGCAGCATCATGCTCGCCAGTGTTTATGCGTGCGTGTGTGTGTGAGCGTGCTTGAGAGAGAAACTGGGGGTGGAGTCATAGATATAGTGGAGATGTATACAACTGGGCCACCATTGGCTGAACAATAACTCCCCCAAAGCACCTCCCTAAAAAAATAGACGAAAATTGGACCCTTTTAAAAAGAGCCGCTTGCGGCTTCAAGAATGTGTTTTCTGATTCTTCTTGCGAGCGCTAGTTTTTATTCAAAAAATATGAAGCCAATCGAAGGTCAAAGTATCTCTCAACCCTCCAAGTCGTCTTTCGAGTGACGTCTTCTGGGGGATCACCTGGTTTCCCGTTGGGTTCTTCCTTCAGAGACAACAGCCGCATCCTTCGCGATTGCCTACTTCTCAGAGATTAACATCGTCCAAGGTCGCGGCGAGCGATCGACACATAAGACGGTTCGCCACAGAACTGACGGCGAGCGCAGCAGTGGAGGGGGACAGTTTTTCTCGACTTCCTTGTGTCCCTCAGAGACGGTGTCACCGTAGTTCCCGTAAGCACCACAGGCCTGCTGCAGTTTAACAAATACATTTTTTTTTTTGCAATTATCCCCCGGAATAGCAGTTTTTCCGGTTCAATGTCACGCGTTTTCGGTCAATTCTGCTTGGATAAACAAAAATTAAAAATTACGAACTGCAAATTCTTTCAACATTAAAATCGTTGCTCTACCCCTTAAAGTGAAACGGAAACGATTTAAAAAAAAAATGTTACTGTTCGAAATTACTGCTGTGAAACTGGCCGTTATTTTTTATGAATGCCGCCCAAATAGGCTTTGGGACTTCGGACGTCCACAGGACTTACCAATGACGGGTCGTTTTTGGAACAGTTGGTGTTATCAGGAGCGTCATGGAAGTGGAAATACTTGGTATTGTTGTTATAGCATATGATATCACAGTGCTTCAGGTCATAGTATACATTACTTCCTGTGAACGTCTGGAGGAAATTTTACTGCTATCATTGCCAAGATAACTTTTATATATAATGTATCTGAACATCAAATCACTTTAGAGATTACCTCAATATGTGTAATTCGTTCCCCTTTGTGTTTTAGTTCACAAACCTTCTGCGGAGGAACCGCCTGTTTTAGTATCACGTCAGCACGGAGGGCTTTTCCAGGCGTCTTCGTTTGAAATGACAGGCAGTTTGCGTCTGGTTTGCTGCAAAATTATTTACACGGTAAAAATTAAAAAAAGACAAAAATAGTTTTTTTTTTTTTCTGGAAAAATTACTTCTCTGCAACCACTCAAATATTTTAGCGTCAAAATAATCAGAACGCAATATATTTATTTCGCGATGTTGCATGTAACCTCAGCTTTGTACCGAGCTGTCTGGTGCAAATAGAAGCGTATTTTAATGTCGCGCTACAAGGCCAAATGTAGCGAATCCACTATGTAGTAACGAAAAGTTATTTCAAAAAAGCTCGCACCATAAATGACGGTGCTGTGCGTGCCCCTTTGTTCGGCCTATTGTGGTAACTTCTGTCCTTCCTTAACTTGGGCCTTTTGGTCTGAACTTGGTGACTTACCTTAGAAAAATATAGAGCTGCTTCGAGCTGCACCATGAAAATGTATGCACACTATGTAGGCCTTGCGAAGGAGCCATAATATATCCCCCAGTTGATTTGCACTCTGGAGCTCCTCGAGTGTCTCCGTCGTGGTACATACCAAGACTGGAAGATAACAATACTACAGTTCTAAAAAACTCAGCAAACTTTGATGGGTTATTTTGAACAAAATTATTTTACAATTGTTCAAGAAATGACTGAATCACTACAACCTTTGCTGATAATCGTCACATAAGCACATGTAAATGTATTCCACGCTTTGAAAGAATATTAAGAGAAAAAATTATATTGTCATTTTTTATTGGGGACGAAATTTAAAGAATAAAGTCCAGGATCTTTTCTTATTCCGCTTGTATGTATGATAAAAAAGACATTTGTAAGAACTATATATCACAAAACATGCTTTAGAAATCATCGCCCTAAGGTGGTTGAAATTTTTATATGATATATAGAATTGCAGCGCTCTTATTAGTGGCCACTAATGAATCAGTGACTTTTCGAATGACACTGTACCCTAAACAATTTACTTACATCTTTGTAGAAGATACGTATACTCTCAGAGTACCTATTTAATTTAATCTGATTACATGTTCACCTATGCAAATTTCGGCTAGAGCAGTAATGTTGATTTTTTGGCCTCGTATGCTTTAAGCAAAGTGCACGTAATCGAGCACTTTGTGTTCTTGTTGAAACTGCGAATTCGGAGTGTGGTGTCATGCATGTGCGCAGGACTGTATTACAAATAAAATTCGTAGTGAATTTTTCTAACAAGGAATGGCGCACTATAAACACCATAGGCGTGGTCAAATATACTGTGTCGTTGTGATTATGTGTATGGCGAAGAGAAAGAAAAGAAGACGGCGGAACGAGCGCAAAAGAACGGCACGTAGCAGATTTTGTGAGGGACAGTCAGCGACTGACAGCCAGGCCCGGGCGCTCAGGCAAACGGCCCGAACCGGGACTGGGCTACAAGTCACTGGCAACCAGGAATCCGCCGCACCAACTCAGAGTCACCAAGGCAGCGGGCCAGGAAGACCTCCGTTCAGGGAAAGCCAAAACGTCACCGACACAGCCGTCCGCCAATACAAGCTCCGTCGGGATTTAATGTGGAAACGAACAACAAAACCAATGACACCCAAGTCTCCCCCGCGAGCCTCCAACCGCTTTTCTCTTTATGGTCCCACAAAAGAAAAGCGAAGACTGATGTCAAAACAGCACCGCCTCTGCCTGAAGAATTCAATACCCATCACTGCCACTTCTGCTGTAACATATTTCGCTTGCATTTGTTTGATTTTGTGCTTTGTGATTAGATTATTTTTGCCTCAAAATGTTGAAATTAAGTTTGGTCTCGTTTTGGTTTATTTTATTATTATAGTGTGAGCCAGACGACAAAACCCGCAATTCGGTCTGGCAATCATCGTGCCCACGCGCTCAAGAACTGGCGCGTGCAGTTGTCCTTGGTCGCCTCGGCGCGTTATGCCACCATCTAACCCAGGTCTCTCTTACTTAAACCTTTTACATTCTTTATCCGCCTACCAGTCCTCACAATAGTTTAACACGAATATAAAGTAATCTCATGACACTTGTGTACATCAACGCATTAAAAACATAAGTTACGATGTAAAACAACATCAGAGCCAATTGTTAATTGGTAAACATAAAACAAATACATAATTATTTGGGGCACGACTCTGTGAAAAGAAAGAAGATTAATAAAGCAAGGTTAGCGTGACAAACCTGTGAAAGTTTGACTGCAGGTTGGGTTCAGATAAGGGCGATCATGGTGGTGTCATGCACATTTTTTTTTTGTTTTCAATTTAATATTTATATGAAGTAGTGAAACCTGTCCACAAAACAGGACTAACCTTAGTTTTGCAAGATACTCAATTGTACTCGTGAGAAAAATCCCATTCGAGAGAAGGTCGCAAAACGATTTTCCCAACTGCGCGATGACGCAACCTTGAAGGCCGGAGGTATAGAGAATGAAGCTTTCTATAACGTCAAATGTTTGTACGTTTAATGCACGCACACCGTTCAGCCAGAATTAGTTAAATCTTATATGAAGATATATTACAAGCGAAATAAAATGCCAAACTTGGCTTCTGGAGCGAATCTTACGTAGTGAGGGATTTGGTGGCAAATTTTTAAGTCGCTTTACATTTATATCCTAGAGCTGAAACGTTTTGTGTCGAGTGTTTTATGGTTTGTGAACTTTTAAAAAGTTAATTAGCGTTCTACTGTTGAAATTGTTTTCTGCATTGCGGCCAAAATATTTTTCAAATTTGAAAAGTTAAAACTTATATTTTTGTGCGGCATTAAAAAAAATCATTCGTTTTTTTTAATTTTTTTTATGGGTTTTTGATGACCGGTAATTACAAATCTGCAACGACATGATACGTTATTTTGTTTTCAAACAAAAATAAATATGTAACCAGGTCGTGGTCGCATCAATAAGTCTTCTCCCCTCAATTACCGACCCATCTCACTAACCAGCATTCCTTGTAAACTTTTTAAGCGCATTCTGTTTTTGCATCTCGTTACATTCCTTGAATCAAACTGCTTTTTCACACCTTCACAGCATGGCTTCCGCAAAACTTACTCCTGTGAAACTCAATGGGTATCATTTACGCATAAACTAAACCTCATTCTTGACCATTCCTCATTTGCCGATTGCAATTTTTTAGACTTTCTTTTTTTAAGAATTCTCTAAAGCATTTGACAAGGTATGCCACAAACTTTTACTATATAAACTACACCAATTTAACCTTGATCACAGACTTCTCGCATGGATTGAATGTTTTCTTCTTAACCGTTCACAGTTTGTTTCAGCTAACAACTTTAACTCGCAGCCAACCGGTGTTTACTCTGGTGTGCCACAGCGTTCTGCTCTTGGTCCTCTTCTTTTCCTTCTCTACATAAACGAGCTACCTTCTCGCGTTTCTTCTAACATTCTCTTGTTTGCCAATGACTGCGTGGTTTTTCGTGAAATAACTTGTTACGACGATATAACTAATCTTCAGTCGGACCTTAATGCCATCTCTGAATGGTGCAAAGCATGGTATATGGACATAAACGTTAATAAATACAAATACATGCGCGTATCTAGAAAAGCAAATAGTTTTCCCACCTACTTTCTAGATCACCGTCCCCTTGATGCCATGACTTCTTACAAAAACCTTGGTATTCACATTTCAGCCGATCTCACCTGGAACGCTCACATCTCGTATGTTACTAACAACGATAACAGAATGCTTGGGTACATCCGACGTAACTTTTCAAAAGCCCCTTCGTCATTAATAACTTTTGTTATATAAAACACTAATCCGTTCAAAACTTGAATATGCTTCATCTGTGTGGGATCCTTACCAAGAAAACTTAATAGGTTCACTTGAAATGGTTCAAAATAATTCAGTTCGTTTTATCCTATCTAACTATAACAGAACTGCCAGCATAAGCTCAATGAAATCTAGCCCCAAACTAACAACTCTAGCATCTCGCCGTAAATTACTTCGACTATGTCTATTTCGCAAGCTCTTTCATCACCCATATCTGCGAAACGATTTTATTTTGCCTCCCCCGTATATCTCATCCAGGTTAGATCATGCTTTTAAGGTTGGAATTCCACTCTGCAAAACTAACGCTTTTTTTCAGTCCTTTTTCCCACGCACATCAGATGAGTGGAATCGCCTTCCCGTACCTACGGCAGCCATCGAAGACCACAATCTTTTCAAAAACACCTTAGCCAGCATTGTATGATTAGGGAGCCTCTTATTTGTCTTTAATAATAACTGCACAACGTTGCACTATCTTCTGAAATTTAATCCACTCCCCTCTATAATGCCTCAGGCCTTGAGGGTAAAACAATCAATAAATAAATAAATTGTCGCTACAGGCGTTTCTGTCTTAACGACTGGTGGTACAGAACCGACGCAGGCCACAGTCCGTACTTTTTCATATTGCGGCCTAGGCACCATGAATAACTCAAAAATAACACGTGAACTTGTTGTCATCGCTGATGTAGCTGATATTGCCAATGAAAACTGAACTGTACGGCTCGTCCGATTCTATTTAGGGTGTTATATTTAGCTGGTCAGATGCTCATCGTTGCTGCCTTTTTGGATTAGTACTTTAATATGAGTACTTGGCTGACAAAATAATTTGATTCCTCGTTCTAGGAACCGCTAGGACCGAGCAATGTTACGGAAGCTTTTGGCCCGACCGATGGAGGGCGTGGCGTGAACGGAAGGTTAAGCCGGTGGTATATTATGGCATTGTAACACGTGGCGTAGCTGGACTCCAAGACGGAGCATAATTGAAGACGGTGCCGGACGAAAACAAGTGTTTCTTGATGCAGACTTGCCGACAAAATAAGTGGCAGCCCCCCCCCCCCCCCCCCCCCCCTCACCGCCCCTACGTTAGAAAGTAAGGCTGAAGGTTACATCCGCGCGCGCAAAGGCGATCGTATCTCACCGACTCGCAGACGCGATACGCGACACCTGCGGCGTGCGCGGTCCAAACATAACAAAAGGGCGTGTGGCGATGGTAAACAAACACCAGAGTCATTCCTCGTGCGGCGGCAAAACAGCCCTTCCCCACGAAAGAGCTAATACGCAGAATGGAGTGTGGGGGGGGGGGGGCGGGGGGGGGGTACAAAGGACTCTTGGAAAGTTTTGCCGGTGCTAGCAGACTGTTGAATGTACGAAACATGTTTGATGCACGGGTCTGCAGTTGTGTCCGCTGCAGAGCACAATGAGGATTTTTCAGGTATGGTTCCTGCAGAAAGCGGCACTGACGACATTTGCACGTTCCAAGTTTCGGTCATTAGGACAACCCGTCTTCAACCCACGAGCGTCATGAGCCAGGTGAGCCTCCAACCACCACGCGACTCCACCGCAGGTCAGCGGACACTCCAAGCAAGAATCAGCATCTGGGCTCTACATAAAGGAAGCTTCCCTGGCAAGCTACTACTCGAACGACCCACCTAAAAGGGAAGCCACTTTGAAGAGGGAGCTCCGGCTCTCCAAAATTCTTGGCGTAAAACTGGCCTTTACAATTCCACCAAAGATGACTTCAGTTTATCGTTTCTTTTAATCCCTTGTGAATTC